AAAAAAAAAAAATACAGTCACTTTATTTCAGTCAATGTATTTAGCACGAAAGTATACTTGGTAGGGGACACTATTTTTGCGTCTCCTACTCACTGGAAACGGGACTGCATTTTATACTGGTTCATCCGAGGGCAAGCGAAGGTCTAGCCGTTTGCAGCTAGGACAAAGGCATGACCTTTTCTAATAAGACCCTTGGTATTGGTCCGGCCCCAGGAAGCGAACCCAAACGGCCTCCCGCCCTGCAGTCAAACTTTTTTCTACCGACTGAGCTAATCCTGACGCAGTTTTATATTCTCGTCCTCTGCACTCAGTCCTCCAGTCTTACAATAGCGCTTTTGCTGCTGACACCAACAAAACCGTCACACTTGATATTTAACTGAAATACCTCTTCAAGTCTTGGATTTGTTGTTGTCGTTGTTATTTTTCTTTATGCCTGAATTAACATTGAATAAAATTGTTGTATATGGTATCAGTAAATCTTGAAGAAAGTTCAGGAACCTTTGCTGCAGCAGCAACAAAAAAACATGCATGTCACTCTCTACAAATAGGCAATTTGGTAATTGTGGTTTGAATCTTTGGTTTTGTTCGAAAAAGTATTACTGGAATAGCTTTTTCGAGGATGGCGGACGTTTGCGGGTACTTTCGTTTGAGACAACGAACTTCAGTTTATCAGTGTAATCGAGCTAGGGCCATGAAGATGGTAACTAGTGCTCAGTTCATGCATTTGCATAGTAATACTATTAAACTAAGTAGACTATTAAAATGGTAACTCAGTGTAAAATATTAAATTTGACTTTAAGAAATGATCCGGGTAGGGTGGATAGCAATTTCGTTTGTTTTGCGGCAACGGTGCTTTCCCCACATAGGAATGTTCTCATTTTTGCACAGAGAATGCATAAACCTACATGAAGACCGTTTACGCAATAAAATGCATGTACACTCCACTTTGAAAGGGTGTTTTTTTGTGTTAAAAGATTTTAACCAATCACAAGAGTTGAAAACAATAGCCAAGAAAAGTTTACAATTTTACATGTTCCCCACATAGGATTTCTTTGTTATTCAAACTGAGACCAGATTTTGTCTTCTTGATTGCAATCATTTGGCACGAGGAATAGTTCTTTGGCAAATTAAAAACATTATGTGTTACTGTACCGTTTTTAATTTGTTTTATTTTGTATTTGAGGGCAATTTCCAAGTACAAGCCCCTGGGGGGCTTATATTCGGAGGGGCGATTAAATGGAAGGTTGCTTTGCGTTACGAGTTTGTTTATTTGCAGGGGGCTTAAACATGGAGGGGCTTATTTTCAGAATTTTACGTTAACATTCCATTTATATTTAACATGCTAACAGCACTGATAGAGATGAGATTTCAGTGCTACCTACCTTACTTGGTGTCTGTAAGAACCATTTTGCTTTCCTTTGACTGTGAGTACTTCATCTGTAGGTTTCTTTTTGCAAATCAGATGAACGCCTTGTCTTACCTCAAGGAGGTGAGGACAATCTTCATGAGAACATGCAATCTGATTATGGCTTGAGTATTTTTCCCGCTGACAATACGAACAGGCGACCCGAATATGATACTGCAATCCACCTTTATAGAGATCACGTGACAAAGCTTGCAAAGTTGCCTCCACAAACTCACGAACCTGCACTGCCATCTCACTTGTCTCATCCAGAGAGATCTGCTAAGGGTGGTTTCTTTGCTTGATAAAGAACTTAAGTAATGATCCAGGTAAGGTGGATAGCAATTGCTTTTGTTATGCGGCAACGGTGCTTTCCCCACATAGGAATGTTCTCATTTTTACACAGAGAAAGCATAAACCTACATGAAGGCCGTTTACGCAATAAAATGCATTTACACTCCACTTTGAAAGGGTGCTTTTTTTGTGTTAAAAGATTTTGACCAATCACAAGAGTTGAAAACAATAGCCAAG